TGGGATGTCTGCAGTATCACCAATGGCAATCACATCGAACCAAAATGACTGTTTGAGGTAAAACTTGATTTGTTTTGCTACAAAATGACACCTCAACCGATTCTGTAAGCCTTCTGAATAAATTTCTATACACTTTCAAAATTGTAAAGTCCTTTTTTAATCACCCTGTATATTATATTTGAAACATTTTTCTATGCTACATATTTAATGAAATACAAGATATAATTATTTATTCCTGTATGCAGTTCCTTAATTTACTGTTGAACTCTGATGTTCCTTGGAGAAACATTAAGTGGAGATTCACATTCTATGAGGATGGTTCAAGGAACATTTTCTTTCAGCTCTTGTTTTTTGTTTTTTTTGTGACAGAAAGTTAACATTTGGATGGAATATCTTATAAAGTATTTATTATTTTATGCTATTAGGTTCTTACTCCATAATGTACTTATAGGTAAGATTTCAGAGGTGAAGCAATGTATTGTTACTAATGCTTAGTATTAGAGAATAATGTTTTCAAAACACATGTCCATGTTGAATATAACATGACTAAGCTCATAACATTTGGGCACAGAGAACTATAAGATGAAGTGTAGGAAGGAATGCTTTGTTTTTGTAATGCTACTTTTGTATGTCAGAATTTTTTGAAAACACAGCTAACATATCACAGCTGAAGTAGCTGTACAGTAATATAACAGCATATTCATCGCCCTGATGATGGAGGCAGTATGACCTCTGAAACGTTGGTTAACATCGACCAGACTACACAGCGCAACAACCCAGAAGACAGAAATCTTCAGTATAACAGCAGTTATGTTCAAGTGATCAGTATAGGTTTCTGTATACATGAATGTGTTCAACAGTGACTAAGTAAAATTTATTATTTAGACTGGGTTTGTTTTGATATTTCAGAGGTGAAAAATATTGGTGTTATTAGGGGCCCTTCATTAGAGGAAGTAACATTGGAACCAACAGACACAGAGGAACTTGACAAGTTTCTTAATGATGACAGCACTACACTGCAAGCTAGTAGAGACAGCTATTAAAATGTGAAAAATCCAGTAAAATGATTGGTCCATGAAGATGGTTAAACTGCTGTTAATGACTTGAATTGAATTATTAAAGATTATATAAAACGTGTGCAAATTACTATTCCATTCTTGTATTAAAACCATTTGCATCAATAAACACTAGCAACATACTTAATGTTATTCACTCCAGTTTTTGCATGCTGTGTTTCTTAACATAAAAAGCATGGCTGAAACCCAAAATCACATATTATACAATAAGTTGCAGAAAGAAGCATTTAAATAAAACAGCATGATAAGATATAATGCATACTGACCACTGGCTAATATTATATAATAGTTTAAAGATTTTAGTCATGAACATAAATCTTACACATACAGGTTGATTGCAAATTATCTTTTCACTTCTGTAAATGTATTTAAAAACATCAAGCAGCCTACAACATTTATTACCTCAATGTGGCCATTATGGTGTAATGAGGGTGACATGTCTGGTGTAGGCATCTTTGATTTCTTTAGATGTTCAAAATTATGATTGTAATTTATAATCATTCTGTGTATACTAAAACAGGTAAATGTTGCATATATGCATCAGTTTTCAGAAATATTTCCCACCAGTCCTTTGAATTAACAGCAGTGTTGCAGACCTTAAGTTATAAAATTAATAAACTCAGCAGTCCTATTTCAAGCAATTCACACCCCTTAACTCAGGTTCTGCATTAAGTGAACATTAAACATTGTGAAGTAGAAGTTATTACTCTTGAAACTCTGTATTTAGTCACATTTCCCATCATTAGTATCTTACAGGAAGTCACAATGCATGCCAGATTATTGATTTTTGTAACATTACAACCCTTTCCACAGTGTTTGTACCAAAAATGTGGGATATTATTCTACAGGAACAAAGAAAGAAAGACATGTTCATAACATGAAACCATACCAATGAAAATGAAGAACCTCTACCCATACTTTATACTGTTCTCATATTATTCTCAAGAGTCAGGATAAATAAATGAAGTTAAGACTCACTTAAAATGGATAAGATATAAGAAAGTACTGGACTATCCACATAATAATTATCAATAAAACCTCCAGGTAAGAGTGACGGTTAAGGCAAACTGAATCTTAAATGTGGTCTTGAAGAAAACATTGCCTACATACACAAAGGTAAGAGCAGCAATTTTGGCCTGCCTCATTTGTCATAGATATTTTCTAGCTAGTATTTGTACAATCCATATGTGAATTTTTACCCTTAATCTGCCGGCACATTAACCAAGTTCAGGCAAAATGAGCATGCCTTACTCACAGAGTTCACAGAGGTAGATGTTTTGCATGTAAGTGCTGTATACTTGCCACACTCCATGAATGATTAACAAGTCAACAGATGTACAATGCTCAGTATTTGGCAGTTGCATGCAGGGAGGCAAGGCTAGTGCACAAAATTTGTTCCTGTGATTCAACATGGATTTTTTTTAAAAAAATGATGCATGTAAAGGATTAAAAGAGATTTATGATACACCTGGGAAAAATAAATAAATATGTGTGAAGGATTAAATTAGATTAGTGACGCAACTGACAAAACCACAGAAACAAAAATTAAATTTCTGCTGTTTGAACTTAAATTTTCCAAGGAGCTAGTGGTTTAATGTACCAGTGTGCACCTAATTAAGTAAACTAATAATATTTGAGTAAACTTTTATTGAGCTTTATAATGACTGTAATTACTGTACAAGTTATAATACAGCCATGAGACACCTAGCTACTTGACATCCTACAGAAGGTAACATACATTTCTCAAATCATTACTTCCTCTTGCATAATTCTGTCAATTTCCATTTGTTGTTTCTTAATAAAGTTGTGTGCAAGCATTATTAACTGACACTTCTGCAAAGTCAACACCAATGTAAATTAGTTTTCCAAAAATACCAAATATGTTCATCAAAACCCAAAAAGTGCATTTGACTCCTGTTCTTCTTGCCCTTTAAGGCCTGTAATTAAATATTTTTACAAAATCCTAAGTCTCTTTATGATATGGTTTCATTAAATTTGTTTTCTAATCTTCAGCTAGGTAGAATGGGTCATTTATGTCAGAATTTATCATCATACTCTCTGCCTTACAAACTCACAATTATGCCATAAAGAATAATAATGGAAAGTACTGGTGCAGAAGGTTTTCAACTGAAAACCAAATTAATATAAACTAGGTTGACAGATGCAAATTAATAATGCCATGAACCTGTAAAACTTGGATATGCCATTGTATCTATCCTTACATCTTAAGCTACAAAGTGGCTTATTTTGGCAATACCTAATACAAGCATATCTGAGGTTAGGTTAGTCACATGTGGCATGTTGCATTACTATATATAAATATCATAAAGATCAGAGATGGTTATCTGGTTGTTACTGTTCTCCTACATGTGCCATATTTCAAACTCGAAAGGGCAATGCAATCTTAGTACTCACTTAAAGCATTTGCTGGGTGTAGTGTGTCAGCAGATCATGGCTAGGGAGCTACACTAGCCAGCAAATTCTTGCTGTCATTATTATCATTTCTAGTGGATGACAGAAAAATGTCAAACTCAGATAATTACAACATGAGTACAAGAAACAGATATAACTGTAATTTGCCCAACACCAACCTCAGTAAATATCCAAAAGGTTATTATATTGGAATTACACTATTCAATAATCCCCCTCCCCCCCCCCCCCCCCCCACAACAGAAGTCTAAACCAGGATACAAAGAAGTTAACACCAGTACTAAAAGGTATCTCCTATCTCACTCCTTCCCCATAGAAGAATTTACCTCAACCAAAAATTCTAAGCTGTTATGAAGACATGTAAACCAAAGTCGTTATGCTGTCTTGTGTAATTATTTTTGCAGTAATACTGTAGTTGACTGCCATAACTATGTAATTTATTTTTGTATAAAAAAGAAGTATTGTATTTGCACTATAACATGTTCTACATCCTTCACTTGTGCCTAGGAAGGATCTATGTTATGTACATAAACTCTATTCAATTCTGTTTGGGAGGCTAAAGATTTTAATGGGGTCCTCAATCTCTGTACGACATTGAATGCTTTCAAATAGACCACGACTGCTGGCTTTCAAGACAATTTATATTAAATAGACCTCATCATATCCCGTGCTTCCGTTATATGACCTCTTCAATTGAAAACAGCATCGTTAAATAATATCTAAAAGCTAATGGATCTCGAGATATGGTAGTTACCAATCCTAAGTTCGTTGCTTCACATCCCGTCTCAGAAACTGGTTATCCTGACGTAAATGAGTGTTTTCCCAGTACTTTTATCAGCTTCCTTCCACATCCTTCTCACTCCATAATTCATAATCACGTCGCCGTTTACAATCAGTACCGAAACACGATGCCGGCACACAGTCGTTACTAACAGTTATACCATTTCTTGAGGGCTATTCGTATTTTATCAGCTAGTCAATCGAATCTTTGACGTTCCCGACAGAAGCGACAATTCCATCTCTTCTGATACGGCAAATTGATAACAGTAAGCTCTGACCAGGTAGAGCCTGAGCCTATGTTGATGTCATCTGTGGTCTGCACTATAGTCGTCTACAAACTGCAACCATATATTATCCACATGGTCCACTCCCTATATAGAAACCAAGGCTTTCTTCGATAGATCTGTTACGGTGGATACGAGTAGTTTTTGTCCCTCAAGATCCGGTTTAGGCGACACATGATTTAAAATGACCTGATAAGATATAACTTCGTATTAAAAAAAAGATTTTTTTAAAATTATAGGATAAACGTTTATAACATCCTTGCCTTAGGGACACTCATGTGTTGGTGAAAACTGGAACATTAAGTTTTTAGTCTGGGCTACTGAAACAGTCATTAAATAAACTACAAAAAATAAATAAGTGGCACTTGAAAACAAAAGGCGAACCCAAAATTTTCACCAAAATTAAACTCATGGGAACAAAAAATATATTTAAATAGACTAAAATGAAGATATGATGACATTAAACAACTGAAAATACAAAATTTTTAATTACAAATCCAACTAGATTCAACATGCTAACTGAATGCAAAGGCAGACTATCCAAACTATTAAAAAATTACGAAGTTGATTAAGGAACCAAAAACAACCAATAAAGAAACTTATGGATGATTGCAGCCAAAATGGGTCACCAAGTGGTCTAACTGCTGTTAATCACTTTTGAATTTACCTGAAAACAGAATTGTGCATGTTATAAACACATTATCTGTGAAGCAAACTAAATAGTTGTTACATTTTCTTGAATTTAAATTGTGAAGAGCAAATACCCATTAAAATAAAAAGAACTATCACTGTAATTTTTTATATGGGTTAAGCCTCTGTGTCAAAGCACCAGTACACTATGTAGTCAGGAATTAAGGCATCACACATCAGTGCTACATGGAAGTGAATAGACAAAATCATGTTCATAGAATTTTCTTTGGGGGAAGAGCCCAGATACCATTCGATAGTAACTGGGAAGGAGCAACAGCTGATAATGATATTGTGGCAATCAGACAAATACCTGGATTGAAATCTATCCAGCCCTTTCGCTACTTAGTTTAATGACTGAAGTATCCCCAATTATAAAAAAAATTAGAGCCAGCTTTTGTTATAAAATATTCTTTTATATACATGTTACTATTATTATCTTCTTAAAATTTTCAAAAAAAATTCTGGCTAATTTTTATAAGTTTACAAAATGTGTAAATATTACTTGTAGTCTTCTACTGTTATAAAACATAATACTGACCTATAAATAAATTTGTTATTCTAATTCATTAATTACACTGAATGTGAATACAATTGGAGAAACTGTGCTCCAGAGAAAATTATTCCAGTATTTTGTATAGTCACTATTCACCTGAAATTGTTGATTAAATTATTCAGACAGCTGGCAGAAAATTTATTAGTATTGTTCAAGATCTCTATAAATAATGGACCCAAATATCATATGAAAACATTTTCAGTGACTGGATCAAATATGACCAGTGAAAATAATTGAATAAAACATTTTTTATCTCATTTAGGCATATTCAGTGCCTTTCTTGCATTACTTTGGTGATAAATACATCACAGTTTTGAAGGCCAATTTCAAAATCGTTTCAATGAGATTCATGTTCATCTAATGTCTATTTTATTTAGAAAATCAAAACCTGCCAAATGATAAAAATTGTTACACACTATCAAATTTGTAACCACATAACTTAAGCCACTGTTATTACAAAATTAAATGTTAACTGTAACATTCTAATGAATAATAACTTTAAGAGGTAGGTGTATTTTAGTAAGTACTGTACTGTACTCAGTCACAAAAATAAATTCTATTTTGGAATGTTCATTTTACATAGTGTACATACAGAGTATCATAAATTGAGTTATAAATTCAGAAAAAACTGAAGTTGAAGTTTCTATCAACAAGGACTTCAATATCATATTTCTGTCACAAATGAGAGACATCATCAAATAGTTCTTTCTGCCTCCATTACTGAAACAAGGCTTGTATGCAAAGGATTGAACTTTCGCATATACACATGTTGACAAATTGCCTGGATTACAATGAACTGACTTCCAATACTCTAAAGCACAGGACTAAAAGCAAAATAAAAAAAAAATAATGAACTTGTAGTTTATATTTTGTTACAGACTTTATCTATGGTCACTGGTATTGGAGGTATGGATGATAGCTTGCTTGAACACTTTTAAATTCACAACTTCAGCTTCAGTTCACCAAACCATACCCTGATTTATGACAGTCTTCAGATATACTCCATATAAAAATCACGTACAGTGGTAATATTACATTTTTATGGATTGAACTGTCACTGCGATATAAAACATAAAGATTTAGAAAATGAAACTTCTTCAGGTAGTATTACAATGGTTTATACACAGTAATAAATATAGATGACAGTTCTAATACATACGCACAGTTTCAAGATGAGCTCAGAAATATACAGGAACTGTACATCTATGTCCTAAAACAATAAAAGTTATAGGTTTCAAAACAGGTATATATCAAGTAGAAATAAGTTTACTATTTACAGGTTCATATAAAACTGTTACAAATCTGAAGTGTTGAATTTACATCACTTATGAGGATGTACAAATGTATTCATGCACATGTGCACACATACACATTAAACTCTTACCTGCTAGATTTTGTACTTTGTTGCATCACGCCTTTCCATATAGTTAAAATAATATAACCTACCCATACATGCAATTCAAATAGCATTCACCAAAAGTTTAAATGTAGGCCTATATTAAATGACAGAAAGGTCAAATTTTCTTAAAACTGCAACATTAAGATGAATACTTTGGATTAACAGATACATCAAACCTTAATCTAGAAATATAATCCTCTTAATTCATATACTGCAGACAATACAAACAGAATTTCTCTGGCTGCAAACATACACTGTCAGTGTGTCAGCTTTAAACAAGAACTGGAAGACACCATACTGAAATCATTACTTCATATTCTTATATTATTTTCCTATTAAACACGCAACAATAAATTTACATTCTAAATATAAACAAACAATTACTTAAACTTGTTTCTTAGAACTTACTGACAGAAACCATTACACATTAATTTATAACACTGTAACTCGAAACACAACCAAAATCGGACAAAAGGCAGACACAAAAATAATTTTAAAAACCTCAACAGCAAAAATAAAGGAGTCACCTTTAAGACAAACTTATACACTCATTAAAAGTTTTATATCTACAGAACCAAATGCTAAGTATACAGAGAATTTTTAACGAAAGTATAATGGATGTTTTATATTAGTGGGTATTCAGAATTACTGAATTAAACCTAATTTTTAAAAAGTAACAAAGAAAGATGAATCTACTAAGGCTTTTAGATTCAATCTCTCAAAAGTGTTTTTGTTTGAAATTTTGATTCTGAAAACATATTTCTTTACAGTATTGTGGCAAAACCTGCATTTCATGAAAATAGAAAAAAAGATTTACATAACCTAAATTTTCCAGGGTTCTTTACCTTTCTCCCAACCTAAACGCTTTGAAGTGCCCCTATGCAAATTTGTTTCTGGTTCCAGTGCTTCAAATCAGTCATGTTTTCTTCTGGTATCCTCTTACTTCTATTGGAGTTAAATAACTTCGAAGATATCTGTCTTCTGGGTTGGCTGCTGTTCCTACAATTTTACTCTTAATACATGAAACAATGCATAGTGAGTCTTGGTGAAATAATAGTACAAAATGTAAGGTAACAGTCTGTATGAATAAGGTCAGTAGAGAGTTATGATCAGTTCCCATTCTTACATATCTATCAAGTTTCATGAAAAGAAAATTGATTTTCTGGAAGCCTTAAAATTTACCAGATCTACAACAAAGCAACATTAAAGTGGTAAAGCAAACCACCAATGTAGATAACACTGCATCTTCCTGTGCTTCTGGTTTCACGACCATTCCTGAGCCCATCTAAAGCCATGGTAAGCACCCGACTGTTGTTGGTTGCAATCTAGACTGGAGAGGAGCTGTAAGAGAGAGTTCCAGAGCAGACACTGAAAGAGTCGTGACAACACGCAAAGCTAGACAAACTTGTCAGATTATTACAAGTAACTTGTAACCATTACTGTAAATCTTAACAGTTTTATAATTATGATGATAATACAATTTCCACAGCCACTGTTTCTACCCTCTGCCTTTTAATTTCTGCCCTTCCATTGCTTTATTGTTACTATTAATTATTTTACAGCATATACATCAATGTGTGATGTGTCATATCACAAGTATTAACTATGGTGTAATATATGATAAAAATGTTTAATTGAAGTGACTTTTGCATAACAACATATGACAATGGATCAGTTTGCACTATTTCCATACTATCACACTGTGTACTGTACTATGGATGGAAGGCTATTAAGCTACAAATATAAAAATTCTGAAATACAGCCGCTATGCCAATTTTCCCCATATGAACTCAGAAAACCAAAATAGTGAAAACAATCTATCACAGTATATGATATTCATATCAGAGTATATAATAAAATTTTATTGCACAGAACAGCTTTATGATAAAAATACATTACTAAAAATTACTGTGAATTAACAAGGCTCCAGTAAATATAAAATATATATTTATATACACAAATGTCATTTAGCTGTGCAAGGAACAACATGAAAATATATGAAAGAAAGTTTTCAGACATATTTGAAATATGAGGCTAAGTTAATTAATAGCATTAAGTTCTAGTTATACATTTATTATAATTATATACAAAATATGTTGTATATCTATATAATAAGTAAAAAGATAAGGTACAGTGTGCATTTAAAGCAAGGGAAGAGCTGGGCCAGCAAATGCCAACACATCGCACAGCCATCACAGACAATAATGCCAGCCTTCCACTAGCTTCAATCCTGACTTTACAACAGTGGCACTAGGACACTTTCAAAATTCTAGTCTCAGTAAACTGGTAAACACCATGCATCAGTGCTGCTTCAAATACAAGGTGGCAAACAAAATGCAAACCAAAAGATAAGAAGATGGCTGTCTTCTGGGATGTAGAGCTGTGTACTCTAGTAAAAGCTTATCAATGTTTCAGAGGTACTTGCTGCCTCTACCATTACAGTATAAAGTAAAGATGGAGGCAACAAGTACCTCTCATATAATAGTAAACTTCAACCAGGATACATGGTGCTACAGCCCAGAACAGTCATCTTCATACTTCCCACCATGAACACCTGTTCTATTATAAATAAGATATGGTTCAATGTTTTGCTTGTCTGATATTTCCATTAAACTACCCATATTTTAAGCAGCTTCTATTGTTAAAAACCTTACACTAACAGGCAGTGGACTTGATGCTGACTATACTGCAACAATGTACATTTTTAACAGTTTACTGTATTAGAAGTCTTCATGTTATTATTAATACAGTCATTTTATATATCCATGGCACATATCAAGTTCACTAACAATACAAGGCAATATCACTAGCAATAGGATACAATCATCTGCAACAATTGCAACAACTATTGAAATTTGTTTATATTCATAAAAGTTTCTTATTCTGAACAACAAAGAAGTGGTCCCAAAGATATTACCCAGATGATCTGATAAAGGTCAAGTAAGTAGCCTCATGTAATTTTCAGACAGAAAACAACAGATAAAATGTAAAAATGATAAACCACCACAACATGGCACTACTTAAATAAGGCTGCTCATGTGAGTACTCATGTACGAAAATATGCACAGGAATGGGGAAAAACATTTACTAAAGTAAGTTTCAAAGGCAATTCATGCATACTCCTTTCTGGTGACAATTTTCTAAAAATATTTTGAATAAATAATATACTACTTATGTTACATAGTAGATTTCACTTTGTGACTATAAATGTCATTACAGTACTCTTATGTACAGTGATAATATCTGCATCAATCATCTTGGGATCTTACAGAAAGGTGGCCATGAGGGAGGGATATTAGTATGCTCTGCTCATTACTGCCCAAAATAACACTTCTCAGCTACATGAACCTGTAACAACAGAGCAAACACGGCTGTGTATGGTGAACATCTGCTCTGATGCCGTTGCATAAAACAAGCCATAACGAGCTGAGCCAAAATTTAATACTATGGAGTACAGATGCCAAGTGAACTGATGCAAACAACACAATATTATAACTTCAGTTACTTGAAATACAAGCCTCAAAAGGTGTACTCTTCAGCGTACACTAAAATTCCAAAGGTGTTTTCACACTGCAACAATGGGTGTTGGCAACCATGGTAACAACAATGGTATCAAAGGCAAAAGAGCCTTGTTGATGTAATCTGAGGTCAGTGTTGCAACAATGCTGGTCAACAATAACCTTGGTTCATACTGTTACAGCAATGTGCTCTAACAATATCCCTGAGTCATGGGGGTTGCCTAATTCCTAGGATAAATGTGAAAGGCAGATGCTAAAGCCTTAGAAACACCTATAAACCAATGTATTGGATATATTTTACTTCCATAAGTGTGCATATATCCATTACAATGTTCTAAAATTATATGTATGTACATTATGAACAGTAATGTCTTCATTTATTTCCTACAAAGCTTTAGAATTGCCACTAAAGATAGTCAAGTAATTAAACACAATTTTGTAATTACATTTCCATGTTTTAAATCTATTAGTACTCAACCACTTCCTTGTCAGTTCCTTATGTACTAGGTGAAAGTTTTTACAAGGAGTATGCAAAATGTCAGAGAGTAAAGATTCTGAAGTTTTCCCCATGCCTGTCACACCCCTACAGAAAGTTTAATTCACAATAACTCTTTGAAGAACAAACTGTGTTAATGTCCAGACTAGAAGATGAATTTATGCTCCATCAATAATATACTATTATCTGCTTCCATCTCTTCCAACTATTCAAGCAAATAAGGATGTATAAATTTCAAAGAATTTCAGAAAGTGATTCATGCCACTTATGTTTAAAGAATGTCTAGATGTTTTCATGACCATCAACATGTAATACTAGTCCTCTCAACCAAGTGACCAAATCAATACTCTTTTGACGTACAAATAATTCTTATAGAATACCAAAAATATACCAATAACAAAGAGCAAAACTCAGGACAACATAAATGTTACTTATAAAATAATTCTTACTGTAACAAGTAAACTAAGGTGCAAGGGACTTACTTCTTAGTACCAGTGTTGCACAAGTAGGATGGTAAACAGATTTAAAATCTAAACTGAAGAAATTTAACAATGAGATAACTGGGTTAGAACCACAGACATTGAAAAATAAGGAGATACTGTCAAACATGGAACATTAAATGGGGGATTACTCTACTCTAGAATAATGTTACATTTATTCAAATTATTGATATAAAAAAGGATTTCATCCGTATCTTAAAATGTAAACCTTCAATGCATAATATTAACTTTACAATATTATGACAAGATATCTAATCTAAAATTACTGCAAGACAGATGAATCAGAGAATGAACTAACTACAACATAGGACTAACCTTATAGTTCATTCCTTCTTATACTTGTGCCATAAGAGTAAACTATTCCATATAAATTCTATAATAAATAAACAAAACACATAAGAAACCAAGCACTTATTATGACACGTAGTTAACAGGACAAGAGACATGTAGAAAGACTTTAGCAAAAGAGGACTTTATCTGCTTCTAAATGTGACCAAAGGTCCAGAATACGCACCAATTTGAGTAATCAGTATTCTGCCTCACACTTTCACGTTTACACACAATTTCAAAACTGCCTATTACCTCTGAATGCAACTACCTAAAAAAAGCATTTATTTTAATTTTATAACTACATTAAAACAAAATTAATTTGTTGCTCTTTTGTCTAAAGCATCTATTTACCCAGTAAAAATACATAAACATCAAACTAACCACAGAAAGTATTTCAGTATTGATGATCATTTTCCAGGTAACATACTGAAGTATGAGAATTAAACATAGAGCATAAAATATTTTTATCTCATTAAAGCACAACTATAAATCGTATCAGTTGAATGGATTCCCCACAATTTAATATTGGTCTTTTCATTTGTAGTTTTTAATAAGGCAAATATTTTAAGCTAATGATGTGTTGTTTTATTTGTAAAATACAGACTATCACACACTAAAGTAATTTTTCAGCCATACTGTGTTATAATTCTGTTAATTCGTGACTCAGAGAAAATATTAGCATGTATTAAAAATATTTGTGGAATGCAAATTAACAAAGTGAAAGACTTACTTCTTATTCCTCAGAAATTAGTACTAAATTTCATGCAAAATAATATAATCTGGCAATTCCATCTGTCATACTAATATCTGATATGTGCTAAAATGTAAAATGTTAATATGAATTGTGAAGTGTACACTTTATGACATCACATATTAAGGGTCTACTTATGTATATTATGCACATACAAATTTCTAGTTTCTATTAATTGTATCTATATATAAAAAAGTGAACAATGTTGTTAGTAGGATGTCCTGCATCTAAAACAACCAACAAATTCAGCCTCCACTGTCCAATGGGCCCTAGTGATAAAAAATGAAAAAAAATATCTTTTGATTTTGATGTAGGTATAACTGACGACCCTGTAGAAATACAAGTTCTACACATGGAAAGCAAATATTAATTAAAGCTGCCAACATATTCAAGTGATTACATACATGTACATTCTTACAGCTGAGATACACACATTAACATATCAAAATTTGAAACTCGTTTCATATATATTAAGAGCATTATGTAGCAAGAGGTACAAAATTCAACAGGAACAGACTTGATGATGACCAGCAACAATACCAGTATTACACATTGAAGGTCATATTAATATCTTATAACGTGATATAACATCTCACATGTATACTTACAAAAATAATCATTATGGTATAAAAAATAGTTAACTATTTAAGGTACTTGATTCTCATTTTCTTTCCATTAAAGTGAAGAATTCTGGTAGTAAGATATGTAATTATGGTTAGTACAACAAATTCCTTTATATAAAACAATAACAATTCAGACACAAAACACTAACTGTATTACAGTAAAGGTAACATTCAATCATTCAATGCAACTTGCACTGCAGTAGCACAACCTGTTATCATTATAATCTATTTACTAACGGCAGTATCAAAACCTCCTTTTACCCTGCAATCCATCAGTTAACATTTCTACCAAATAATAAAGGTAATGATGCCTCAGAAGTTTTGAGGTCACTGGGAACGGACTCAGTATGGAGATGTTTAAAAAAAATCAGATGTGGATCATATTTTGAAAAACCCATATTACAAAGTGGTCACTTTATGCAGCCACAGCTGATGAAATTGTCAAATATTACCACAGAAATAAAATTGTTTGAGATTGCACACACAATGTCCATAACAATCAATCCTCTTGTCACAGGACCACTGTCCCTAACTATTATTCTATTTTTTAGTATATTAAGATCACATACAAATTTTAAAAACACCCACTTTATGAATAATGACTATTTAAATTCTTTTTAAAATCCATTAAACATTACTAAGATACTCACACATGCTGAATGCGTCTATTAATAATACCTGAATACTTCATGTCTCGATAAGCCTAGTAATAATAAGAATGATGTAAATTATGAAAACTTTCCTCCAGATAAAAAATTAAACCACTGAAAATCTGAAACTTAGCAAATGAAATAAAGTAATGCCTCTATTCAGTCCTGTAACACAAAATTATTCACTTGTTTTTATTCATATTTTCAAGAATACTAATGACAGTTACGCTGTTTAACAGGTAATATGTTATCTCAAATATCATTACCACTAAAGCATTACTAAATCAAAAATGGCATATTCTGTAATACTACCCTTCCTCAATAAATGTGTGTTAATGACTTCTGTAGAAGGATGTGACCTGAAGAGTTCTGAAACATTACAATATATAAAATTATACACTTTCTTTACATTACTTTTTAAAAAAATCATGATTTATTTAATTAACACCCAATACTACAACTTTCATATCATAAATTAATTCCATATGTATGACTTTTCTGACATGTTCCTTATTTCTTTCATATGGAGGAAAGATTTCAGTTTTGAATGCTTTTGGGATTAATTTTCACAATAAATTGGCTGTCACCCTAAAATGAAATGCAAACTTTCATGGATTTTGACATATAATACTATGGGTTTTTAATGCACATTGCATTAAAAAAACATAACATGCATCTAACCTAAGACCCAAACTCAGCAATGCAATTCAGTATGTTTCTGTAGTCCGAACCCAGAAAATTGTTGCTACCTTTGCTCTTGTTGCTGCTGTGATGGTGGCTGCTGTTGATGATGTTGCTGCTGCTGTTGGCTTTGAAATGCCTGAGTAAAGCGAGGAAGTGGAGTAGTAGTTGTAGAGGCAATCATTTCTTCCTCTCTAGAGCCAGATGCAAGAAGGGATGCCATTACATCTGATTCTCCTGGTGTAGCAGAAGCAGCACTACTGGTACCTGGAGCTGATTCCTCTGATGGAAGATCCAGTCCCACAACTGAGGAAGCAGCTGTTGCCATCAAATGCAGCAGACTTTGCTCTTCACTGGTAAGTAACTGTGTCTGCTCTGTTCCCCCTGTATCCAGAAGCAAACACACCATAAACTAGATCATTAATGACAAAACCCTGATAAGCTAGCCCGAACAGTGCTACCCGAAGTAGTGCACTCAGAAGACCACAACATAAACTTGCACCACAATGGCAACCTCCAATCCCACATCACCACCATATTTGCTCTTTTCTTTTATTAATAAAAACTCTAGTGCACCTGACCTGTTAGTAATCTCTGGATATCTTCCTCAGTCCGAATATGCTGTGCAGCCATTAATAAACTGTCGTGCTCTACACCAGACAGTGTCTCTGACAAAACAGATGCCTGCGATGTGGACGGAATCAGACTCAGCAGATGAGTCAAGTCACCCACCCTTGATGAGGATGGTGGTTCAAGTTTGATCATTCCTTCTCTGTTTCCTTCTTCAAAAACCTGAATACAAATGGGGAAAAGTACAAATCAATAGTAATATTTCAATACTATTCAAACAATATGTAAAACACCACATTCACGCTCTGTATTCCAAACTTTCATTAAAAATTCATATCAAGGCAGATTTATTCTTAAACCTGTCATATTTATAAATCCAAATAAATGCTATGTATTTTATAAACAAATTATTTCATAATATTTTAGTTGTAATGAATTGAACAAACAGTGTTACACAATAAATACACTGCAATATGTACAAGCTAATTATGAAGTTAAGATTTTCATATTAAAAATATATTTATAAACTTAATTACAAATATATGAAATGAATAACTTCTTCTATTGAGAACAAAGGTCTAATTACATCAATTATCTTTTATCAACTGCAATCTGTTATAAATGCTACCCCATATATGGGAATATTGGAATAACACTCTCCTACCTCATGATTTTAACAGAACATTACAATGGAACATTACGCAACTCAATAAAATATTTTAAACACGAAGACACTGAAAAACACAAATGGCACCCAACTTAGATACTCATTAATTTATGAAAATATGAACCGTCCAATAATCTGGTCTGTTGTGAATGTGACCAATATGGAAACTGGCATATCACTGATATAACAGTCACAAAATTTTCTTATGGCATAATCATGATAATTCATAAACTCAGAATAATAATTATAAACAATGTACATGGAGAATCAAGTACTTCTGTGCTCACAAACACTAACTCTTCACTTGTCAAAGTGATGTAAAGTACACGTCTGTTTATGTCTGCTAATAAAACAATAATATATATGTAAAAGGATAAATAAAATGTGCTAATCACATGAGATTAAATTCACTAATGTGGTATGCAGTTAAGAGCAGGTTAAATCTGAGGAATCCTTGCTGCCATACACTTCAGAATCTTTTGCCTACCCATTTATATCTAAAAACATAAAGATCAAAAGACACAGACTATAATTTCACCTGATGTTTCATATCGGCGTGAAACTTGGTCTGTCAAACTAAAACAGACTGAGACTGATTGAGAACAAAGTTCTGAAAAGAATAATTGGAGAGAAAGTAACACCTAAAATGCTGCACTGCAATACAGACATTATGGGCTGCATTACTTTTGTCAGTCTCCAACACTATTCACTATTTATAAACATGGAATTTACATGTGTTCATAATACTTTCACAAAAATATAATGAAACACTCTGTCATCAACTTACCTTAAATGTCTGACTTTGCAAGTCACCAGAAGGATATGGCGGTGGAGGCGGATGGCCATATACTAGCCCTAGTGGCGTCCCTGTTGACTGGTCCATGGTAGAAACTGCTGGTATAAGGGAAGCTTCTTCAGACTTTGGTATCACATCTGTAGCCCCTGGCACTCTTGTTCTCTCTGCTGCATACCCTGGAGAAGTTGACTGTAGCACAGTTTCAATGCCAGAAATTTTCAGAGCACTTTCAGAAGCCACAATCTGTCTCCTTGTTAGAGAAGGATCATCAAGTAATGTAGCCTGGGACAACACTCTAGTCTCCTCCACCTTACTTTCTATGTATGATGGTGGAGACCGTGGCAGGAGAATAACATCTTCCATTCTACCTTCAACTCCAGATGTGGAACCTAAAACATGAATGTTAGAACAGTTTCATTTCAGAAAGGAATTAGATAGTGAAATCCTGTGATGTTCACTTTAATACTTTCTATCTCCAGTAGAGTTCTCAAGTAACAAATAAATAGGAACAATATTTATTGTAAATGGTAATATGAATGGAGAAGTTATACTATTACTGCCCGGTGCAGGCTACTCCATTCATGGTCCGGCTCCTATAAACCTAGCCCCACCCACCCAATTGGCATATTCATTGCCCTGATGATGGAGGCAGTGTGACCTCTGAAATGTTGGTAAACATCGACCAGACTACACAGCGCAACAACACAGAAGACAGAAATCTTCATACTCATCGCCCTGATGACGGAGGCAGTATGACCTCTGAAACGTTGGTAAACATCGACCAGACTACACAGCGCAACAACCCAGAAGACAGTAATCTTCATACTTACCGCTGTGAAAACCTCAAATCTTACATAGAATTATTTACTATAGACATTTAAGATGAATGCTGAATATAAAACAAAGTTCAAATGTAGAAAGCTATAGAATCCTGGGGATTACCAAATGGACACCAGAATGACAGGTAGGTGTGGAAAATGGGAATCAGAAGGCAGTGACAGCCATAATAAATCCAAAATACACACGCACAGATATGCAAATATAAGTTATACAAGAAAGCAAAAAGAGATATGGTAATAATAAGTAGAAGAAGCAGAGTATAACAGCTCTCCTTACCATAAACAGTAGCTTGAGTCTGGATCCCTTCCACTGCTCTGGTCTGAGCACCAGCTGTGGAAGTGGAAGGGGTTATCACTGACTTTGGTGGTGCTACAGAAGGAACAGTGACTTTATGCCTTCTGCCCCCTCGTGCCACTCTGGAGGATGCAGGAACACTTCCTTGATGGTGACTTTTCTTGATGTGCCTAACCTGCATAAAACCGATCTTTATTACCATAGCAGGTCCATTTCAAATAAAATATTATAAAGTTTAGTAAAGGGTCTTGCAGAAATACCATGGCCAAGACACATCTGCAAATTGTGAAATCACATGTTGCAGAAATAAATTTCAAATAGTAGTCATGCTTATGGCCCTGTCTTGCTGGAACCACAGAGCTTCATGCTGAGGTAGTCAATTTATCCTTGGGACCAAAAAATGTTCAAGTACATTTGTGTAGCATTCTACACTGATTGTGACAGTGTGCCCATTATCATCTTGAAAGAAGTAAGGTCCAATTATCCTAAATAATGAGACAGGACATCACACAGTGACTTTCTAACTGTGCAAAAGCCGCTGATGATGTTCTCAGGGATTTTCCATGGACCAGTAATGAAAAGTCTGTATATACACTGCATCAATTAGGTGGAAGTGTGCTTCAACACTCATCAACAAATTGTTCACAAAGTCTGGCCTGTCTTGCATCAAATTCAACAAAACTGTGCTACAATGTATATGTTCTGTGATGGTTGGTTAGCAATTGGGGTACCTGAAATTTATAAGGAAGAAAGTGGAAATCTTCATGTAAAGTTCATAGCACAGTTTAGCCAAACACACGCTCTGAAGCGTGCATATTTACTGAACATCTTGGACTGCACTCAACAGACGCCAACACTTGTGCTGTTTTCTAGTGTGCAAACAGAATAAAACCTACCTTGTGGTTTTGTATCTCACACAGAGCCTTCTTTGTGCCTTCTTAAAACCCAAATTTGAGTTGTGAGAGGGAGAGTCTCATCAATTAAACTGGCACCACAATTCTTGCTGCATTGCCATATCTGACATGGTTTGAACAAACAGTTCTGCCACAGACACATTCTTCCATATAGTCCAATCTCCATACCAAACTAAACTACAAGATCACGTCTACTCTTTGTAACAGTAACACATGCACAACATAGTGGTGGATCTGGTAACCAACTATTCAAAACTGTCAATATTTCTGCTGGACCCTGTACAAGTAATGACAGTCATCCTCTAACCCACTCCTCCAAAGAGTGCCTGTTATTTGTTCTTCAGTTTAATTAGCCTAATACAAAGTGTTTATACTTAACTGCCTTCAGAGTGCTAAACCCAGGAAATAGAACATGTCATCAAACAAATACTACTTTCATTGTTACTGACCAATCTGCTGAAATTAAAATAAAAAATGTGTAATTGCTGTAATTTAACATCACGCTCACCAGGTGATCCTTGCGTCCAAAGCGCTGGGGACAGAACTGGCAAAGAAAATCCCTTTTCCCAGTGTGAACCACGAGGTGTCTCCGTACATCTTTACGTGTAAAGAAGCGTCGCTCACAGTGATCACACCGAAATTTGCGATCTGCAGGGCTCTTCACTGTTCTGGATCCTGCATGGACCTGAACACATGAACTACAATATTACATGTTAATAACGTTCTTGATACTTCAAATTTTCATATTAGTAAGTGCACTATATAAGCCAACAGTATGGCTTTCATCTTTGTTCTGCCAAATTAAACTATGTTTAAATACTTCACAGTCACCTTTCAGCACTACAGATAATTCAACTCACACGACATTTGAACAGCTAAGTGTAAATAAAACTGAAAATTTATGGTCTTTAAACTGAATTCTAAGGACATCAAGTAATATTTTGTCAAATACATGGGTTACATTCCTGCAAAAACAACAGACTTGGCAAAATCTCCACTGATAAAATTTAGATGTCATGGGAAGTTGGTGGTTATGGCAAATGCAACCACTGCCAACAATAATCAAAGCTTAACTAATTTGCCATTTCATTCACTAAACACAAAGAAATACATAACATTAGCATAAAATATGATTGTAAAATGTGTCACAGAAAGACACACCACAATAGCAAGCGCTGCAATAGTAATCTGAAAGTTAGAAAACTGGTTTTGGATGGCACAACCTCGTCTACTACCTGTTCTGTGTGCACATACTCAAAACTGCAGATATAAAAACCCAATACCACAGCTGGCAATAATGGAAACAGATGGAAAAACACCACGATTAATAAGGGATTATTATACTTCAAATACTGAGTGCTAAAACTTTGAATACCCCAATTAATGGTACCCAAACCTTGTCGTAGTGGTGGGGCTTGAGTACCTCAGTGACCCCAAGAGCTATGCTGGTGATAGCATAGCTACTGGTAGGGCCTCCCTAGCCAGATTGGTCGAGGGGGAGAGGTCAGACTAACACAGGTACCCTGGTCCTCCAGGTTGGGAGGTTGGTCGCAAGGCTAACAACCTTGCACCATAAAAAGGAAGATGTTTCAAAACCTCCATTAAAGCCTCGGACAGAATGGACCTAACAATAGGACTGAATGGAAGAGGAGAATTGAGGAAGCCATGGACCGAATATGGACCAGAGAGCCATACAAGAAGAACTTTGAATATAATAAAACTAATTCCAACTCCATATTCAGAATTAACCACTAACCACCTTCAAAATGACACTGCATCACAATCCTCATAATTAAAAATTGCTTTCGGACTGTTGGTAAAATGTTTACAGCTTACGGATCAAACAATCCACTTTCATTATATAATACATTAATGCATAAGACATAAAACCATACTTGATCTTTTAGGGGCAATTGCTACACAGACATAAAAATCAACTGTTTTACATTGTTTGGCAACTTTTGTTGTCCTTTCTGCTTATTAGACAAACACAATTCACAATTTTACATACTTAATAAAATATTTCAACCTTTCCCGGGAGAAATTAACAATACCTTGAGATGATGAAGAATATCTGGCGTTGTACTGAAGTGTCGACCACAAACACCACAGTCTAATGCACCATCATCCTGGGCAGCATGTAAAGCCAAATGTCGTCGATGACTAAGTGGGGAGCCATATTCTCTGCCACAACGATCACAACGCCATCGTGCACGAACCACACTATGGACCTATATGTGTTAAAAATATTTAAAAAAATGTAATTTCATGTTGATCAACAAATTCTGTACCATGCTACTTTAATGTTTAGAACCTCTAGAGATGCAAGTTCCACATTAGGATTTTGACCTGTACGAGGTGCGATCGGAAAGTTTCCAGACTGTGTCAATAGAGGGCGAACCGGATGTAGTACGAGCTTCTGCCGCTAGGGGGTGCGGCCTACATTCATAGTGAATCAGTGTGCCAGCCGGCATCATCGAATTAGCATTTGTTTTTGCCAAAGACTTGCCAAAACGGCTACGGAAACCTATGAAATGCTCAAGCAAGCATTTGGGGAGTCCGCAATGGGTCGTGCACCAACTTTTGTGTGGCATTCACGTTTTAAAAATGGCCGAACCTCTGTCGATGATGACGAGCGTTCTGGACGACCATCTTCGAGCACAACGCCCGAAAATGTTACGAAGATCGACGTCGTACCATCAACGACTTGTGCGACCTTGTTGGGATAGGCTATGGGACCTGTCAGCTGATTCTAAAGGAAGAACTCCCCATGCGACGCATCATGACAACGCGCCAGCGCACACCGCCCTCAAAGTTCGGCAGTTTTTGGCCTCAAACACCATGGCCGTCATCCCGCACCCTCCTTATTCGTCGGATTTAGCTCCGTGTGACTTCTTCCTCTTTCCAAAGATGAAAATTCAGCTAAAGGGATGGAGATTTGAGACGATAGAAGAGATTCAGGCAGAATCGCAGATGGTGCTTGACAGGCTGACAAAGAAAGATTTCCAGGGATGCTTCCAGGCTTGGCAGCGGCGCTGGGATCGTTGTGTTCACTCCCAGGGGAACTACTTCGAGGGTGATGGATGAATTTAATACCTGAGATAAGTGTACGGGTTTTTATAGGCGCAGTCTTGAAACTTTCCGATTGCACCTCGTATTATGGTGATGGGACACAAACATACATTTAGAGTTTCTGGGTTTATTTCTTGACCAAAATATTTTATATCTTCCAACAGAAAACAAAGGCTCACCTTAGCATGATTCTGGAGGTGATCCTTACGATGGAAGCTGCGATCACAGGCATTACAGCGATAACGACGTTCTGAATCTGATGAGTGGATCAATGCATGTCGTACAAGTTTGAACTTAGATGAAAATGCTTTGCTGCATTCTGAACACACAAATGGACGCTCACCTGTATGTGAATACATGTGTTGACTTAGCTTCCCAGGACTACCAAACACTTTTGAACAAATTGGGCACACATGGTTTCCCTTTCTCCTCACTCCACTCACACTTGCAACAGCAGAAACACCTGGTGTTGTTAGTTCTCCCACACTCAAACTAGAACTGCTCAACCCTGGATGGGCAGCATACATATGGTTACTTAATCGGCCTGGACTTACGAACACTTTTGAACACACACGACATGTATGGCCACTTCTCCGTTTCCCGCCACCACCTCTGATACCTGTAATACCTGACATTTCTAATTCCTCAAATTTGGAACTGGAGCTGGTATGAACCTCTAAGTGTTGACTTAGCTTTCCTAGACTAACAAATGCTTTGGAGCAAATATGACATACGTGGCTTCCTTTCTTCTTTCCATTGCTACCACCAGGATTTGACGGCAAAATGCCTGATGCAGCCAAACTAGACCCACTTAAACCAGAATGAGATTCCACATGCTGGCTTAATTTCAACAAACTACTAAATATCATGAGACAAATTGGGCAAGTGTAACTCTCCTTCTTCCTAACTCCAGTTACTGGTTTTCCTTGTGGTCCAGATTCAATTTCCATCACAGAATCTCCATTGCTACTCTGGCTACCACAGCTTCCTTCTGTTCCTTTTCCCTGACTAGATTCACTTATACTTGTCTCTTTCTGTCGCTGAATATTCTCTTCGTTTTTTAAATCTTTCTTTGTTTTGGCCCCCTGCTCTTCACTTTTCCTTACTTCTTGACCATGGAAACTCTTCGCTGCTTGGCCCACTCTCTGGCTTCCTTCAACCAAAGTTGATTCCAGCTTACTTTTCAAGCTGAGTCGCAAAGTCCTTGGTCTCAACTTGCTGCGTAGTAACATAAATGCACCCCTGCTAGAGGATGGTGTTGGCAAGATCTCCAAACTAGACCTGGTCTTGGGTCTTGGATCATCACCTAATGTACGCAAAGTTGTACTAGTTGATAAGGTTGATAAACTCTTCATTGAACTGACTGGAGCAACATCTACGTTCCTCTCATCCAATTTTTCTTTTTCACTCGTACTTTCTAAGGCACTAGCATCACTAAACTGTGACTTAAGTATGTTAACCTTTGAAGAAACTGGCACAGATGGCTGCTCACTGGAAATATCACTTCCTGTGCTTAACGAAGACCCCACTACTACATGTCTTGTAGTTGTACTTTCCCGTTCACTGATGCACACTGATGGTTCAACTAATGAACTGGACTGTGAACTATACTGTTTCCGAGCTGCAACACTGCGCAAGCCAGAACTTAAAACATTTTCAGAAAGTACATGTGATATGCGTCCAGAAACACTGGTGCCAGTTCTGGTGAATGCTACACCAATAACATGATGTAATGTGGGATCTGAAGAGCTTTCAAACACTAATGGAATATTAATTCTGGGTAAATTAGTTCCTTCTATGGTTTCGGCATTTTCTACAGAACTTGAACTATGTGGATGATGTGTCAATAAACTTGTACTAGACTCTGGATTTGTCAGAGCTTCTAGTGAAGCATCAGAACTTGCTGCATAAGTTCCTCTAGAAGAAATTGCACTAATACCACTCGCTGATGCTGAAGCTGAGGAAAAACGAGTCTCTAACCTAGCAGCTTCAGTGCTAGATGTTATGGGTAGTGCTATCTCATGGCGTTGTTCTGAGACTTCCTTGCCTGCTTTCCTTGTTCTCCCCACTTGTTGTCTTGGTACACCAGGAACACTTCTTGATGGCTTTGCAGCCTGTCTCCCATGTAGCAAAGGAGGAGGACAGGTACATGCTGAGCGCTGCTGCCGGCAAACAGGGCAAATCCTCGGGCGCAACTGTCGGCCAGGTGGCTCTTCCAACACAGCAGGTACATCTGTAATAAAAAAAGATCAGTTATATCTTCAGTCATTTATAATGTAAATAACTATAACAACAGCCAATTATGCAGCTACCATAAAGAAAACTGGAAGCTGTATATGTTGCTTCAGCCATCATTTCCTTCGATCCTTTCACTGCCGTAGTTATGCAAGCACTGCCAGACTTCCCTATTTTACATTTTTTTTAATCAGAGTTCTTTTCTGGCTACAACTGGGAAATATTTCAAAGTGGAGTGTCAAGGCACAGTAGTATGATGGGTTTCATTACTACACTTTTTTGAATTTAAGATAAATTCAAGCATTCTAAGTACCAGATGGTTTTGCCAAAGGCCTAGTCCCCATAATGGCAGCATATTCCTTGGCATACCAGACTCTCAGCTCTTCCCCAGGTGCAATGTCCTGCAAAATGAGGAGTAATATTACAAAATGATTTGACAAGACTGATGTATAGTATGGCGTCAACCCTTAAAGCCAAGTAGTAACTACATGTATAGTGCATTCACTGGTAAAGTTCTGCCACTGTCACTTCCTGGCTTCTGGCAGGAAATGCTATAATATAGGTAAGTCAACTTTATTGTTTTTATGGAGCAATACTTGACTTATGTCAAGAAAACCTTGTACCACTTGGTGAAGCCATGCAGTTCCACTGTTCATATTATCATTATTCATTTTTTGTTTTGTTATTACTATTTTAAAAACTTCCAGTGTACCAGTAAAGTTCACATAAAATCAAAACGAGCAAGACATTTTTAAAATACTAGTAATGCAGTACGAAATCCTAGGGTATATATGTCACAGGGACTTAATTCTCATATAGTATGCTTTTTAACAAACTGAGAACTTAGTGTAATAAATCCCCAGAAGTTTACAGTCCTTAGCAAAGACTGCTGTACATTCAGTACATAGAAAGTGGAAAACATATGGGTATATTCACACTCCATGGAGCATGCTGATACTGAATGTATGGATACCTTCAGATTCATTAAGGGGTTAATACAATAAGAAATGTGTCCACTAATGTTCATAAAAATATTACCAACTGCCATGTTTGAAGTGTTTTGGATTCTTGACACAAAAGTTACATTCAGTGTTAGACTAAAGGGTTTTAATAGAAAAGCTAGTTGTTGGTTACAGGTGGAAGACAATAGATAATAAAATCTCAACACACAATTAATTTAGTTCCTGTCTGTGCCTGCCATCTTCTCTGTTTATAATTTCTTTCTTGCACATCATAAAAGAATCTCTACATGGACTGCAAAGAGAGAAATACCTCTTGTGAAGACATTATTGATTAGCCAATTCCATTTTGTATACATGATAAAAATAATCTCCCTTACCTTAGTTGTAACAAAGTAAATAGCAGCATTGTACTGGAATGCAACAAGATTTTGCTGCTGATGGTCCCTGGCGGGTGCCACCAACACCATCCAGTTGCAGAAATCTTCATTGCCTGGCACAGTGTTCAAACAGACCACTGGCCCTCTGTCCCTGTCACCTTTAAACAGGCGAAATTCCAATCTTCCAGCCGTTGTGCTTGTGTCTATGTTACTACTACTCCTACAAGCACGACCCTTCTTTTTTGGAGCCTGGAGAGGCCCAAATCGCGTCCGATGTTTGATGAATTCTTTGCTGAACACTGACAACCCTGCACGAAAATAAACTTATATAACAGCATCACAATTGAAAGGTGGATTCCAAAAGGCACGAAATCAATGAACACGTTTTATGGCAATGGATGATCTGAAGATTGAGGTGAAAAACTAAGAATTTTCAAAATCATACTTGGTCCTTATGACCCAGTAAGATGAATCATAGTATGTTTTTTCCCAGGTACTTTGCAATCAAGTTTAACACTCTACACAAGTTATTGATTGTTCTTCTTATAAATCTATAATATGTGTATGCTCATGTCAAAACCAGTCACAAAGTTGTTACTTTCAATAAGTTTGGATGCAAGCTACTCCTCACATGTCATTATTTTCTTTACACTGTATTGAATTGCTTACAACAGGGGTCCTCAAACCATGGCCCATAGGATGCACACACCCCACTGATGTGTTTTCTGCATCACATGTACATTTTTATAATATTATGTCACCTGTATGATGTACAGTAATTACCTGATATCAGAGAGTACATTTTGTTGATGGCATCAATGTTGGCACTACTTATCAATGTGAGCAACTGTTCAACTTAATGAAGAATGTCAAATTAAGAACCAGAATGACATCTCACAGAAATTCAACTTGATATGGAAAAATTAATCAAGCAACACTAATGATAAACATCTAAAAATGTTTGGTTTCAATAAAGATAATTATTGAGTAATGTTTGTAATAGCAATAAACCATTTAAACAAGTTGTCATGAATTTCAATAAACTATCCTCTTTTATAACATAGTAGATTGCAAGTCAATAAGAAAAGGTAAATGTGACCCCTAGTCTGAAAAGATTGTGAACTCCTGGCTCACACCTTACAATACCAAAGCAACAGCTTATATGGAAAAAGATAAACAGCTGATCAGCACATACATAATGAATACACAATGCTGAGAGCTTACATTGATATCTTCCAATTTAATTGAATTTCTCTCTACATTATTTATCAACCATAACTACATATCAGCTCAGTTCTCTGATTTATACAGAAAAACAGTTCAGTTCATTCAAGTCCTTATTCAGTCATCACATATTATTACCTTGTGTTTTATCCCCACTTTGCCTAAATTCCAATACAGTAGGCAGTGACTGTTGTGCCCGACTCAACACAGGAGAATCTGACACAATGTGCAGTGCACCATGACGGTTGCACTCCCCAGCAATGCCATGTTCACAATCATTGCACCCTGAAATAATTTAAGTTACATGTAACTCTCATGAATAAATCTGAATCATTACACAACTGAATTAATAATGCCAATGGCTTTCACCAACATTTTCTCCTACAGATTTACCTATTGATATTCACTACCTACATGTTCCAGAAATTTTCACAAATTTCCTACAGCAGTGCACAAACACATATATTAAAATATGGAATAAAATATCAACAATAATTATATTTGTCCTGTAATTAAAGGATTATGTACACAGCAAAAGGAAAAACAAGCTGTGCAATTCAATGGGAACAGCCTCAAGGTCACAACTTTCAACTATGTATGCAAACTCAGCAAAGTGAATTATTTAAATATTAGCAAGGGGCTATCGTAAAAGTTTCAATTACAAAAAATATAATTATTAAGCTGGAAATTAATCTACTTGTTACCTATAGGTGGCGTCACTCACATAAATTGGAATCATCAAACATGTCATAGGTACGTTGGTTGTGGACACCATACACAAATGTGGGTCATCATTTATAATCTGGAACGAAAGTAAAATCTCAGTTCCTAGACATGTAAAATACAAAACACTAAGGTAAACTTGAATTTTAATCAAGGATACTATTAGTCTCACACGAAAATGGAACACAAATGCATGCAATGAACATTCCGAGTACTTAGCATACATTTCCTCATATATATGTCAAATAGTACATTGATCAGCTGTTATCACGGTGATATCCCGCACATTCATATGCCTAGTAAATCTTTCTAAGCCACACCAAAAATGAACTCACATTCTACATTCTTCAATCACTTTAATACTGGTGCTTTCCTTTTAAAATTGTTTTTGTTGCGTCGTAACCTTTGCACGTGAAAAATGAATCTTTCAGTGACCTGTAAATGTCATATCGCAAAAGACATTTCGTAAAATACTGATTTATACCATAACATTATTCGGTATTTTGGCTTCATAACTGATTATGTCGACCTGTCACCTGAAAAACTTTGAATATGACGAATTAACGAAGTGCGCAATAGCTTTCTTCAGACAATGCATGTGGTAGACATTTTAAATGATGAATCATGGGTAAAATTTAGCGCGAACAGTTTAGGCAAGACTTGGTGTAAGTCGAAATACGACCTTGAATTGTCCGTTAGGGAACGCTTAACATGGTGATCTATCAAAGGATATTTAAGTTTAAACACTTTTCACAACATATAAGCAAAACGGACTTCGATCAATGAATCAAACCTATAGTTTAACACCTATATTTTCATGATGTAATGGCTGCCATGTTTCCCGCACTGCCAAATACTGCACGCGCTATTTTTAAAAAGAAAAAATATTGGGCCATAACACAACCATCCCAGATCTAAAAATTACAGTATTCATCACAGGGCACAAACCATTTCAGATAATAACTTACATCTCATAGTGAAATGCATGCGACTACAATTAAATGTAGACTTCAAGTAAAGTCACAGCCCTATTTCCCAACAGAACCATATGTAGATTTTGGTTCATCTTTTATCGTCCTTGTATTGCAGTTTATCGGCAGTTCAGTTGTCCATGCACTTTTCTAGCATACTGCTAAACTGTTATCCCAGAGTTGCACACCAGTTGGTAGCCCCATTATACAAGGGTTTAAATCCTCTAGTCCTGTATAATAAAGATTAATAAGTATTCAAAGTCTATGGACAAACTGATCCTCAGCCATATAAACTTGGAAACATACTTCTTCTGTGGACTCACGCTTTTGAAGAAAAGGTGCACAATAATTCTAAAACGATTCAAGCACATCTGGATGCCATATTTTCTTTTATCTTCTTTGTTGTCACAGCTATCTATATTCTTAGTTCAGCCAGTAAAATGATGTTTCATATGTATGCAGGCAACATATTGAGAGAATGACAGTTCCACCTCAGCCCCACATCCAGTATCTCTGTATTCAACCCCAAAGCTAGAAGAATGCAATTTCTAACTACTTATTCAACATTCCCACAGCCATCCACCATATTTGCATACCACCTCCTCCACTCCCATAATATACAAATAAAAGGAGTTAGCCAAAAAGTAACTTTCTTAGTTCAATGTGAAATTTGTTACATTTTTACCATCATGAGATAAAAAATGAGGTTTACAAAAGCTTACTTACTTTTTTGGTACACGTGGTATTTCATAATATATAAAGGTCCACAGTTTCATTAAGCCTTGGTTAATCTACAACATGAATAACAGACACTTGGAGAGCCAAACTGTTTGAGATATACAGTTTATTACAGATACTCCCTTCTGCAGAAGTTTCTATATTATAACCATATGAATTTGTGCCACAAATATACAAATAATGGCTGGAAGATGTCACTACCACTCTGTCTGGTAACAGAGAAACTGCTGACTCTAGGGACAAAAGAATTTTATTTTACTGGATAAATATATGAAATAACAATGCAGTGGAATCCTGTCCTAAAAAATGATTCACTGATCAGTAAAGGATGTTTCTTTAATAGTAACACTCTTCTAGTGTAAGTTAAATAAAAGCAAGAAGTTTTATTAACTTTATCAAAATTCAGAGCAAAATACTGCCAAAAATTCACAAAACAAGGATGAAAATCAATTTAATAAATAGACTATGCACATTGATGTTTCATAAGCAAAATTCAGCAGCCATTTTGCACCCAAGTCTCCTGACTAACTGCTACATGACTCTGGCAGTCAACTCAGGATTGAGTAGAAATTGTGCAGACAGTGGGCTGGTCACTCACTACTCTTAAATGCACACTTCAAGACCAAGAAACCTCCGAAAACGAGGCGGCAAAAGCCCACAACTGGGTTGTAGAGCCAATAAACAACAACTATGCATATTAACTTCACATACAATTTTACAAATTACCAAAGACATTTTACTTACTTGTATTAGTCACTGGCCTTTATAAAACATTACATATAAAGCTCTAATCCATAGAAGAAATTACATGGTAAACATACTCACATGAGACAATTTTTGTTCCATTCAAGATATGCAATTATTTATAAGCCCTGTATCAGTGTCATAATGCTCCTTTAAATTATGTGAAGGGAAAAGAAAAAATAAACCTACAAAGCAGAAATATCAATGTTATCAATAACACATCCATCTACTTATCACATGCATGCAACATACAATATGGAATAACCATTTCAGTACCAAGATACAATGCAGCCTTATAATAAAGTATAATCATCTTAACCTATTGTGTATACATATCATCATATTCTCACTGTCTCATTTTATATATATAATCCTAAATGACATCTTCTTTGCCCTTCTAATGAGAATGTCACCTGTTTATACTAGTAAATCAAAATTAATTTATTCAAAGAACACTGACTTTTAAAAATTTGTATTTCAAACATTACAATCTAATTTCACTTAAGTATAGAAGTATGGATTTCCATGAAGTAAAATATAAAGTATATATCATTGCTTATTCATAATGTAAAAACTTCACATGTCTCATTCATATGTAATATTTCCTTATTCATACCATGAAATGATAACTGCAAATTACAATCCGTATATTTTTTCTTTTGTGCATTCATCCAACCTTATTTTTGATACACAATAGCTAGAATATCCTATATTCTTCATGAATTACTTTGATTAATAGTGTATAAAATTACACTCCAAGCATTTAATTTAAATACCATTCACTGAATTTTAGGGCACCTAATAAAGACCCTTGAAAGTTAGCAATGGCTGGGGGTTCGTTGTGCTGACCACACGTCACCCGATATCTGGTTGGATGATCATTCACCTCTGCTTAGGCATGTGAACGTGAGGCCAGCAGTCAGCTAGTCGGCTTTGGCTCTCTGGAGCTGTTATGCCATGGATTTAATTTTTAATAAAGACCCTCCAATGAGATCGCTGCATATTTCTATTAACATATACTGCACTCTTTTGTGTAAGATAGCTGATCATAAAATTCCAGGACTGATCCTACTGCACAAACTAAAGGAACAGTAAACCACATATGTTGTAAACAACTGTTTGACTCTACCCTGGAGGTCAAAGACATTGCTCTGTGTGAGGAAACACTCTGTCATGTACATGTGGTTCATAGTGATATTCACACTGTGAAATTACTATGACAAAACAAGGTGCATGACCCAAATTCTGCATGAAAATTGAACTTATGGCTACAAGAATAAAACCTATATAATCTATGTATGGAGAAGTTGACAGTTGCACTAGAACATACTAATCAAATGAAAAAGGACAGAATTTTCACTGAAGATGGTTCACACCATGGACATCCATTATCAGTATACACTGAATCATCACAATGTTCCAGCTAACTCTCCCCCACTCTATTCACAGGCTATAGCACCTACTAACTTTTTTTGTTTCAACACTGAAAAGTAAGCAAAAGGGAAAAATATTTAAGAGGGTGCTGTCAATGTTCAAAGTGGAATGTAGAAATTGAACAATATCTGGAAGAATATCAGAAGCGTTTTAGCAACTGGCAATGCCACTAAATTATTGTGTCCAGTCATAAAAAGAGTACTATGAAGGGGATAAATATGATTAATAGGCAGGCCTGTGACTTTTCATATCAACAGCAAAAATCAATCCCAGAATGTTATGACCTATCCTTGCATTTAAGTAAATAAATTTCAGGCTGAAAACTACACATAAAATCAACAAAAGAACTGAAACATTAGGAACACAATGTAACCTTGTTAAAGTTACATTCCAGTGTCACATTGTTATTGTCAATTCGTATTTTTATTCTTTAAACTCCACACATAAAATAAATTTCAGTTGTTCTCAGAGTAATCAAATACAATTATCCAAACAGTTGTATCTCAATTGGAAATATTTCTAATAAATTAGAATGTTCCCCAAGAATTTCAATTCACACAATTATTATTTAAGAAAAAGCACTAAAATTTCAAATAAAAATAATGCAATAAAATATAAAAATCAATGTCAATAAAGTGTTTTAAAATAATTCATAAAAGTGTATTTTATAAATACACAGCACTAACAAATTTATGTAAAAATAATCACATAAAATGACAAATAATTCTATAATTGACATTTAGTCAACCAACAAAACAGCAAAACTATAAAAAATCTTTGGGCAATTCAGACTAATCACCTAGTAAACAAGATACCTGGCATAACATAAATCAAACATACCACATTTTTATAAATAATTCATAACATCCTAAATATGTAATATCAAATGGTATACAACCAAACAATAACTTTGTAAGTACTAAGGCAAATATTTAGCACTAGCTACATATTAATAATATAACATTTTCCTTATCAAAAGAAGATTGATATAATCATATTCTGGGTACCTTCTGATAAAGACAAGTTTATGAAACTATTATTTTAACATTGAGGTAGATTACCAACTTCTTGGATCAAATATTTTAAATAGAATACTTACCTAAAGCTTTACTATAAAGTGTATTCTATTAAAATACTGTTTTATTCAGACTAGATTTTACCATGGTGTCTGAGAATTCTGTTACTATGAAGAAAGTATAAGTGTAGTATTTAACATTACTCGACTGGTGTTAAGTTAATTGAGCCAATAAACTGTATTTTTCAATTCCAGGCAATGAAAAAACAGTCTTGCATCTGTTTTGCTGTACAGAGGAACATACAATGTTTGATATTAAAATAGCATTACCATGGCAAACTTTCTGACAGTTAAATTTTGTTCAGTGTATTATCCTTTGTGACAACATAAGACCAGTTCCAAATGATGAATATCAGTTATTTATTGAACAGCATAGTAATGGCTATCACTGTAATTCTGTATTCTTACATACACAATTCTGAAACGTTATTTGTTCTTACCACCGAACAGTTGGACGTAACTCAAGAAGTGCAGAAGCTGTCACAATACCATGACTGTGACTGAAACTGTTAAATGACATTGTTTCAACATGACTATATTGCTTTTGATTCTGAAGCATCTCTTGTTTGTGACTCAGTCTCTGTTTGCAGCTTCTACTGTGAGGAGGCAGTACTGTATCTGCCTTGGATTGAGAACATTTCCCAACCTGAAATAAAGTAACAGAGTTAACACTCATTTAAGAACTGAATGCTGAGGCAAAGTACAGAACTCAATGGACAAAATGATAAGAAAAAGTTATGCATGTTGAATAGCTTGACACCAAAATAAACAAAATCACATTCATACAGCCCATCATGCATATTACAAGCAAAGCAAAGTGCTCTGAATGGCCTTGAATAGGTGTCAGAGCAAATCTATGTCACACATTGAAAAATAATACCTTCACTTCAACCTTTTGTCATGGTATAGCCTGACTTAAATAAATTATTAACAAGCCCTTTTTTTATTGGAATCTAGAACAGAGATATGTGATATATTGATAATGGTTATTTAATCATTCTTATTAAAGGTCACTGTTACCACCAGTTACTCCATACTTGAAGTAGCAGTGACTGAAGTTGTTTACTTTCATTGACTAGTTAGACCTGATGATAGAAAGTAGCCATAGTAGGTATCTAAGCAGCTGGTAACTGGTTAGGTGCTGCAGTTATTTCAGTCACTGTCGGGTGTGGGAACTGGAGACTGAAGTCATGGTCACATTTCACTGCCTAGCTGGTAACTGGTTATATGCTGGAGTGATCCGAATCAATTTAGTGAGGGTACTGGTGACTGCTATAACTGGTACATGTCAAGTACATATTTGATACACATACAAACGCTTAAGTCCAGAATTGGTAACAAAGACATTGACACTGTCTGGACTACATTTTCTACACACTAAGCACAAAGGCAAAACTGTGTGCAGAAATACCTTATAGTATAATCTAACAAGATGTTCCAGCAGTCAGAGAAACCCCATTCTGCGCACCAGCTGTAACCCACATATGAAAAATAACAAGTTACATCAATAACATGAAGACAAATGCCAGTGTTGAACACAGCTGATAGTAAAAATGAGAAATATAAATGTATAATAATGCTTTAAAATATGCCACTATGCAGTGAATTTAAGATAAGACTTGGCAATCTGTATTTACAAAGTAGTTACATAAAGTTCAGAAGCACATGAGTACATGTCACTTGCAGAATATCACCAAGAAATCACTATTGCTATGCAATGCCAAATCACATATTGGTACAACAGTAA